ACATCAAGTGCCTTGAGGAGGAAGTGCATCCCTGGGTCAAGAGGGTGGCTGTTGGAAGATCCTACATCTGGCAACAGGACTCTGCACCTTGCTACAGAAGCAGGAGAACCCAGTTATAGCAGTTAGACGATTTCTGTAACCACATTACCCCTTACATCTGGCCACCTAAATCCCCAGACTGCAACCTCAATTGATTATTATGTGTGGGGCACAGTTGATTGAGAGACCAACAAAACTCCTTGTAACACTGAAGGCAAGGCTTATGGCAGCATTCACCAACTTAAACAAGGAGATTCTGAAATTGTCCTGAGGCCGTGGTTGAAGCCAATGGTGATTTTATTGAATGAATTTACTCTTTAGTATTTCAAAATATTTTCCTGTAATTTTGGTAAAATATATCTGTTAAAATGAGATGTCAGTGTTATTTTAATTTTTGTGTAATTCAGACGACAATTTATCTATCGCATTCTGTAAATGATGGTGTTTATCAATCCACCCACGGGGATCGAATGTGGCACAAGGCCTTTTTTTTAATGTGGGTATGTCTGAGCCCGTAGGCCCAGCCAAAATAAAACCCATCTAAACTCGTCCAAGCGGGCTAGTTCCGTTAACCTCCCCGAACGAAACCCCACCCTTCGGGCGGAGCTTTGTCCGGGTTCCTCTCTGCAAGCAGAGAGTTCGACAGACACCTGACCCGGCAGCTCACAAAGCGCAGATACTACACTTTGATCCTAGCCACCGGGCCGAGCGGGTATTCTTTTTAGAGATACTGTAAATGATGACAACGTACCATGCAATACACAGCAAGAATAGAAGGATATATATTTTTTTAAATGCCCAATAAATACAATATGGTTGGCAGATCATCTGTTGCACAGGATACCAAATTTTGAAAGGGTACTTAATTTTTGTCAAACCTAGATTTTGCAACTTCAAAAATAGATAATTATTGCCCCCATTGAGAATGCCTGCTGAAGAGGTTGAATAAATCTAGGGAGAAGACACATCTTTGCTTCATGCACCTTTCTATTTTTGTGTTGTTACTTAATTCATTTTATATACATATGCAGGTACTTTGCTCTCCATATAAGTTCTGGATTATGCAAACATTTTTTCCACATAGATGTAGTTTTCCCAGCAGTTCAAATAGATCCTTGTGGCATACCTTATCAAAGGCTTTTGTGTAATCTATAAAAAAATAAGTGTACATCCTTCGTCATCTGTATTGCTCTCTACTCATAGGTAGTTCAAATATTTGTTAGTGATAATTATTGTTGAATTTAAAATAACATAAATTGGGACATAGTCTACATATACTGATAATGGTATTAATGGAGTACTAATATGTCATGTCAGGGTGACCAGTTAATGGGAGTTTAATAATATCAGATCATGTTGGGTGAGCTATAGAATAAATGAACATTCTTCCTGTTTGCATTTCTCTCATGATAGGCATTATTATATCCATGATATAATAACACCTTAATACATGGACAAAACAGAATACCTGGAAGAAAAGGAATGACAAACATACTTTGTTCTCAGAGAGAGTTTTATACCACTAAGTCATACACAATTTATATACACATATTTACATTTGTCCCACACAGAGAAACTATAACACATATGAAACAACAAGCAGTGTGAAAAGGAGACGAAAAACAGTGTCTTAATTTTAATAATTCCTGACAGGAATTTAAGCTACTGGAGGGTTCTTCTGGAGAAGACATATTTAGGATTCCCAGCAGATATTCAAGCAGGCTGGATTTATTTTTCTATGTTATGAGATATTCCTCTCAAAGAAGAAATAGCGAATCATAGTTTCTATATATGAAGATATATTTCCAAAGAAAAATGGAACCATGTGTCTGTAAGCTGCACCACATGGCAGATGGCCAGAAGAGGCAAACTTAGCTATGGTGTTAAAAAAGTAACTGCTCAGTTTGACTTCTGGAAGCTGACTGACAGACTGGCCACTTTCATTACTATATGAAGTGACATCACTAAGTGGATATCATGTGACTTGATGTCAACCATTTGTATCCTTACAGTATCAATAGGAAGAGGTAAAATTATATTAAACTTTTTAGTTGTTTTTCTAATAAACTAAGACATTTATTAATGAGAATAATATTATATCAGTCAGTTATGTGCCATGTGTGATACATGCTTAGGAGATAATGTATCTTTCAATACATGACTGACAAGCCAGATTTTTTTCCACAGTAGGTTTTCATTTATTTCTGCAGTAGAGCAGTTGCCATCCAAGGCTATAGAACCCAGTCTGTCCTGATATTTATCCATAGCTAAGGGGAGAAGAGGATTCATACCTTTCCTAAGGATATTAGCATGTAAGTGAATGTAATGGATTTGAATGGAATTTGAACTCGGCTGTCTGATTCCTCAATCCAAGCCACTATCCATTACTCTACTATGCCTCCTATTACTATACAGAGACTCAAAGATATAGGCATGACAAACAAGGTTATGGCTAGTTTAGATATTAAGTCTCTATTTATAGAGACTTAATATTATGACTAGTTCAGATATTAAGTCTTTATTTATAGAGACTTAATATTATGAGTAGTTTAGATATTAAGTCTCTATTTATAGAGACTTAATATTATGACTAGTTTAGATATTAAGTCTCTATTTATAGAGACTTAATATTATGAGTAGTTTAGATATTAAGCCTCTATTTATAGAGACTTAATATTATGAGTAGTTTAGATATTAAGTCTCTATTTATAGAGACTTAATATCTAAACTAGTCATAACCTTGTTTGTCATGTCTATATCTTTGATTATCATTTAGTAAGTTACCAGAATTCTTTAAATATGCTGAATTGATAGTACCAAGTAGTGGGGTTAGATTTTTTGTGATAGCTCTAACAATTATGTGAATATCAGAGATTAATTGTTGAAAAAAAATTATACAACAAATATTTATTATTCTCTATATATATATATCCTCCCTTGTCAATACATTTGATAATGTGAGTATTTATACAAGAATATTAATTATTTAAATTAAAATTCAACTCCAATTTTAAATATCTATCTATGTATCTATCTTAAGTCTGTACATATCTATTGAGCTTTCAAAAACAATCCTTACATCTCTCTCTCTCTCTCTCTCTCTATATATATATATATATATATATATATATATATATATATACAGTGGGGTTGAATAAGTGATCGTGCAGAAAACAAATGCTTGTTATTCTCACTTATAGTGAATGAAAACCTCGAATAACAATGTTATATATGTATTTTGGGGCAGAGAATCAGAATTTGCAATTTAAAATTAGAAATTCATCGATGAGTGTGAGTTATGCAAATTTTTATATTTCAAAAAGTGGAAAAAGTGTTCGTACAGTATCAATTTTTGCATTATAATATGGTAGATTTTGGTTGTTCTTTAAAGAAGAAGATTCTAAACTGTTCTATAATATTCTCAGTAACTCTATTGCAACATTCAGTTCAAAATTGGATCAATCTGCAGTCACTGTTCACTGATAATGGTTCTAATAATGGCTAGATGTAAGGAAATGACTTGTGCTCAAAAAGAGCTAATTATTAAGCTATGGAACAATGGAAAAAGTTACAGAAACATTTCCAGTGACACAAACATAACTTTTTCAACAATTGGTTCATTTATTGCAAGATTTAAAAGACGTAATATTGTTGAGAACAAAGGCAGACTCGGTGCTCCCAGGAAGATCTCTCCCAGATTACAAAGAAAGTTGATGCGACAGATCCAAAATAAGTCAATGGCCATCAGACAAGACCTTCAGGATGATCTGAGTTTGTCAGGAGTTAATGTAACTAAGCAATGAATTACGCAGAGATAGTATAAAGTCGCACACCCCAAGAAAAACACCACTCCTTCTGAAATGGCATATAGATCCCAGGTTGAAATTTGCGATAGAGCATAAAGATAAGGAAACTTCTTATTGGGAAAGAGTTTTTGGACAGATGAGAGTAAAATTGAGTTGTTCAGTTGCTATTCCCTGAATCAGGTATGGAGCAAAGACGGCGAAGCATACGCATCAAGGAACACCATACCAACTGTCAAATTTGGTGGGGGTAGTATCATGGTTTGGGGCTGCTTTTTGATGCAAGGTATTGGCAAACTAGCAATTATAGACAGTAGAATGAACACAGAAAAATATCAACAAATCCTATGCAAAAATTTATCGCTTTCTGTAGAGAGTGTTGGGCTTCCTCCTGATTGGATCTTCCAGCAGGACAATGATCCCAAGCATACTGATAAGAGTACAAAGAATTGGCTTGCTAATAACAATGTTAACATCTTACAATGGCCCAGTCAGTCACTGGATTTGAATCCAATAGAGAATTTATGGCGGTTTTTGAAAAATAAGATCCGTGATAGAGGTCCAACTGACATCAAAAACCTGAAGACAATTACTCAGGAAGAATGGGACAAAATACCTACTAAAGTATGCAGACTACAGGAAGAGATTGGTTGCTGTTGAATTTAAAGGCTTTGCTACAAAATATTAAATGGAGAAAACATGTTTTTGTTCTGCTGTACGATCATTTTTAAACCCTTAAATATTTAAATATTGCTATATTTTCTTAACCATGGAATATTATTTAGTTCTATATGCATACATTTTTAGTATGCAATCTGATACAGTAGATATATTCTTGTTTTGTTAATTTAATATGTTACAAATGAAATATTTTCATGTGTACGATCACTTATTCAACCCCACTGTATATACATTTCCTCAATCTATTCTTATCTATCAATCTGCTTTATCTAGCTATCTATCAATTTGTTTTCAGCTATTGTTCACAATCTGCTTTATCTATCTCTATTCATTATCTATCTATTTATCTATTGCTGTTCATAATCCATCAATCTATCTTTTTTCATATATCATTGTCAATCTGCTTTATCCATCTATCTGCTCAGTCTGTTTTTATATATCATTCTCAGTCTGTTCATGTCTGTCCATATATCCTAGTTTATTCATATCTATCTATTTATCTATCTCAGTCTTTTCGTATCTATCTATTTATCAAGATACAGTAAAAGAAATAAAGCTTGCCTAAGAGAAAAGTAGATAAAAGAATCAAATTATTCTGAAATAAGCAAACAGGCACCAATATTCACAGATAAGCAGCTCAGAAGATGTGAGCAGACAATCAAGTTAATGGGTTTTTAAACAAATTAAAGGATTTTTTTTTCATACTATTAACAGTTTATGCCACCTCTCAGTGGATATAAATAAACACACACACACACACACACATATATATATAAAGACAGTTTTGAAATGTATTACTTTTGATGTTTTGCAGATGAACAGGTGACACTAGAGAAGAACAAAATCTACATTAGCATGATTTTTTTTTTTTTTTTTTAATTGGTGTCACCCCAAGAAAGTCAGTACAGTCACTAGCATGCAAGGTGTTACAGGGTGTGGAGGAATTAGGAACAGAAACATTAGTACTAAGGAGAAAAAGAAAAGCGCTGAGAGGGAGTTTCACAAGTGAGAAGTGCAAAATAAGAAACTGTTAGCATAGAAGATATGGCTACATCTAGCTAGCTTGACTGTAAATTGATGAGATTTCCCTGTCAGTCTAGTATTGAACTTAAATTCATAGTCCAGATACCATAACAAAGAGCTCATCTGAATAATTACCATGAAAGTATTTATAAAAATGGCACAGATTAAGAATAGTGTAGGACGAAGGATGGAGCCCTTGGAGACACCCACGTTAGTATGAAAGGATGTAGACAAGTGGCCATTCAGGACAATTTTAATTTCATGATTTGTTGGGAATCATTGGATCAGCTCCAAAATGTGCCCTGAGATGCCGTAGCTTTTCAGCTTGTGGAGAAGAGCTGAATGCCAGGCCTTGTCAAAGGCTTTTGAGATGTCCAATGCTACAGCCCGAGCTTTACTGTTTTTATCTAGAGCATGATAGATTATTTCTGCAGTTATCATTAGTACATCAGCAGTTGATCTTGAGAAACGAAAGCCATATTGCTTGTCTGCGAAAAGGCCCTGTGATGAGAGATGCCGAATCAATTCAGCATTGATTAGGGCCTCTAGGAGTTTCTCAAAAAGAGGTAGAAGGCTAATAGGCTAATAGTTGGATGGGTCAGATAGTTCTCCAGAGTTCTTAAAAACTGAAACAACAGATGATGACTTCCAGCAAACAGAAAAGCAGGAGGAAGTGAGGCATTTATAATACAGCTTAGAGAGAACAGGAGCCAGTTTGGGAGCACACTTCTTAATGACTATAACAGGGATACCATCGAGTTTACATGCTTTGTGAGAATCAAGGTTAGAGATGATAGCAGAAACCATGGAAAGGGTTATATTTATATCACTCAACAGAGATTCAGTTCTAAGTGGGAAGTTAAGCAGGAATACTCCAGATGAGCCAAGAGTAGAGTTTGAGGAGAATTTACAGGCAAAGCATTCTGCTTTATCAGCACAGGATGATAACACCTCAAGTCACTTGCAGAGCATGGGGTAATAGAGATATTGCACTTATTTAGTACCATATTACAGAGACAGTAGTAGTCATGTGAGCCAAAGTATTGAGAACCTATGCAGTGCCTCATTCTCTCAGCAAACAGGGACTTAGCTTTTTTGTGGACTCGCTTACATTTGTTACAAGCAGTATCAAATAGGCACCTGTTATGATGAGAGTTGTCACACTGGTATAACCAGAAATAGTGGTTTCTGTGTGCTATGGCAGCCAAGCATGCTCGTGTGAACCAGAGAGGATTGTGGTTTCACCTGATATTTCCGAGAAGGAATGAAAGCATTGATGCCAGCTTTGATCCAAAAGGAAACCTCAGTGCTGCAATTTTTAATTGGGAGGTTGTATGTCCAAGGGGCATCATAAAGAAAATTCCAGAATGAGTCCCAATCAGCATGCTGGTACCAGAAAGAGGTCTTATGGATAGGGCTTTCTGTTTAATGGATGCTTGGAAGGAGATATCAATAGCTACTACAGAGTGGTCTGAGTTTCCATGCAGTATTGTGAAGCTTAGCAATAGAGGGGAAAGGATGTAAGAAATAGATCCAATAGAGAAGCATGCTGCTCAGTTTCACTAGGGAAATGAGAAGGGAAGTCCATGATTTGAGTAAGGGATTGAGCAATGGAAACATTTAATGCCTGTATACCAGCAACATCAGTACCTTTAGAATATTTTAACCATGTGTTGTGATGAGCATTAAAGTTCCATAGACAAAGATGCTTGCAGATGGATGAAGAGAAAGTGCCTTTTCTATACTATCAGCTATTACATCTAATATACTGCAGTCTTGGGAAGAGGGGGAGCAATAAAGGAAAAGTGATAGCTGACAGAATTTAGTAACAAAAGACAGAAGCAGATGAAAAAGTAGTCAACAGCCTTGAGAGATAATTCCATGTCCATTAGAAGATTAACCTGGATGTAAACACCAAGGCCATGTCTTTGAATACCAGAATCTTTTCGGCAAAGGGGAAGATACCCTGGATGAAATGTGATTCATGGCTGAACACTTAATTTTTACTTTTAACTATTTTTGACTCAGTTTTAGCTTTTGATATACATATTTATTTAATTTAGTTTTCAAGAAATTATGCATACCATATCTTACAGAAAAATTAACAATTAAAATTGGTTAAAATCTAATTTGAGTTGAAAATTAATTAAAATAATTTCTATGGCAATACAGTTAAAATGAAAGTTATGCATTCAGATACTTAATATGAATCACGTTTGCTCTTGCAAATATATTTTATTTTTTGTGAATTAAAATTTTTTTCTGATAAAGTTGATTCATTGGTGAAACATGTCAAAGTATAAATTTTCAAAAATTGTCTTATATATATATATATATATATATATATATATATAAGTCTCAGCAATAACACAACCAGAATCCTTGAAAATGGCTAATAGAATGAACAATCATTTCTACAAATCCACAAAAGGAAAGACTTGTTCATATACAATGAAAATCCAAAATTTAGCATTTACACCCCATTTCTTATAATAGTATAACTAAAATCCTTGAAAATGGCTAACAGAATAACCATAAACATTCAGAATAAACTATCATTTGGACATTTTCTACATGAATTAAGTCCAAAAAAGAAATGTCTTGTTCACATACACGAAAAAATACAATAAAAAAACCTTGCCAATCATTTTTTAATATGAAACATGTATTAGAGAGGGATTGATACCCAAATAAATAAGTATTAAATATATGTGGGGTGTGTATACAGATTCATACCTCCATACAAGCAGGTTCATATATCTGTAAAAAGAAATGTAAAAATGTGTGTGTTTGTGTGTATGTGTCTGTGTACATACAGATTCATACATCCATGCAAGCAGGTACATATATATGTAAAAAAATATGTGTGTATGTATACAGATTCATACATCCATACAAACAGGTTCATATATCTGTAGAAAAAATGTAAAAATGTGTGTTTGTGTGCATGTGACATGTGCATATAGATTCAAACCTCCATGCAAGCAGGTACATATATCTGTAAAAAAATATGTGTGTGTGAAGACATGACAAGAAAACAACATAAAAGAACAACTGGAAAGCAATTCTACACATGCTGCTGTTGCAGAGGTGCAAGGCTGCCTCCAGTCACTTGATACCATGTTCTTCAAGGACGCTATAGTATTTCTACACTTGTATACCAATGGGACAAGAACCTCAATTCTCAGTAGTGACTATGTGGAAAAACAGAATAGTAACATATGCACAGTGTTTTAAAAAACAGAATGGTAGCATATGCACAGTGCTTTAAAAAACAGAATGGTAACATATGCACAGTGTTTTATTTCTACAGCAATAAACATGTTGAATTAGTAAATGTTTGTTTCTTACTTTTTGGGCCATACACTGTATGATTTTTTTATATATATATATATATATATATATATATATATATATATATATATATATATATATATATACACACAGACACAATGTAAATCTATTTAGGCTTGGTGGGTGAGAAAACCTGGATAGCACAATTTTTTAAACAAATTGGCATCTAAGGAAAAAATTTGGAAAAAAAAGAAAGGACCTCTGAACAGGTCGAAAGAAATTGTCCAGTACCTTAAATTTTTGGTACAAAAAAAAAAAAACACAGAGTAATAAGTTAAAGTTCATCCTGATGGTCCCATGTGGTAAAACCTAAATAGGTAGTACCTGGCCCATTAGGATTTATTTATTTTTATATATATATATTTTTCTTAACCAATGCATTTCATTCTCTGATAGACAATGTAATGCTATGAGTGGCATTTTTTCTCAAGTGTGCCTGTCAGTAGATGTAATACACACTGTTTGAAATTAAAAATGGTGTGTCTATTTCAAATGCTGGTATTCACTAAAAATAATGTTAGAAATAATAAAATGTCTGGATAAATTCTAGTTAAAGTAAGTTTTGTGATATCAACGAACACTCATTTGACACTTTTCTCAATGCCAATGAATACTCATTGTCACTTTTGTGATGCACATTGTAGTAGAGACTTTGTAATCGCAGATACAACTATAGTATGCCATTGAACAATGCTGGTGTCAGACACCTTCAAATATCACTCGCACTAATAGTACTTGCTTGATAATACTCGTTTAAATAGTAATCCGTATAGTGATCTGAAAAGAGAAATAGTATAGTGAATAGAGTAGAGAATAGCAGTCTGTATAGTAATAGAGGATAGACTAGAAATACAGATCATTAGTCATCAGCTACTTCCCACATATATGCCTTCCTTTGATGGTCATGTGATCTACTTGATTCAATAATGGGATCGCCTGTATTTGTTCACTGGCAATCAATGTTCAAACTCAAGTGTCGGCAGTGACACTTTATTCCTATATAACAGTAAGAATCAGTGGTTTAACATAAATCATATTTTGTCTCACTAATGTAGATGTTCTTCCTGTGAAATAAAATGCTATTTCAATCTGCTTGTCTCAATCATCTTCAAGAAGCAAGAGCAAGATCTAAAAGGTCAGCCAATCTAACAGTGATCTCATCTCACAA